TGGTGCACGACACACCCATAAACAAGACTCTACTAGACACGGCTTGTATACTCCCTAGGACAGAACTGCTCTGATACCACTTTTGTCACGACCTAAACCGATGGGCCGCGATGGGCACCCGGTACCCTGCTCAACCGAGTACCAACATAATGTATCTTTCATATCATTGTATCATAGGCAAATGAACCGAAGTAAAGCATGAGGGAATAAAAACTTATACATATGAAGTACGGGCCTATAAGGCCGGCATGATTCTTTATATACTCGATACATAGGCCGACAAGGCCATACAAGTATCCGTATACATGACATCTGTCTACTAGCCTCTAAGAATACATAATATCATAAAGGTCGGGACAGGGTCCCGCCATACCAATCAATACATGTACTAATCATACTGACCAAAGAAGCAACTCCGGAGCAAATGGAGCGCACCAACACCTTTCGCTAAGCTGATAGACTACTTGGAGGACTCTCGACCTGTCTATCAGGACCTGCGAGCATGAAACGGAGCATCCCCGGGCAAAAGGGACGTCAATACAAATAATGTAACGAATATGTAAGGAATGAAAATCAGTAACTAGTAGACATGAGAGAAACATGGAGTAAAAGACTCAACATGTATATCTGAATAATTCTGTAAATCATTTAATATTATAATTTCTTGCGTATCCGTATAAATGGCATACCATGCATGGGTATACGCGTTCATAACATCATCAAGCCTCTGAGGGCATCTCATCATATCATCTCGGCCACTATGGGTAAATCATCAATGTATATCAGCTGATCAGGTGGTGGTGCGTATATAACGCCATAACCTTTTCCCATATCCATATACATATATACGCGTATATAACGCCATTTGGTCATGAGTCAATGTACATGAATGCAATGCATGAGAAGTACATCAATAAATCTCTTGGAATGTCATAAGACCATTATGCCTTCGAGTAATATTATGAAGTAAACTTTTTTTTCAACTTACGTATTTTTCTGAGACCCATGAACATATGATAGAATAATATGACACATGGAAATTCAAGAACATAGGCACCTCTAATACTTCTATGAATAGAGTCATTTATAGAAGTTGTGCATTTTCTCATTTCGTTTGTGTTGTATAGATCATGCCAAAAGAAAGAAGGGATAGCCTTAACATACCTGAAGTAGGGAAAAACCCGTATGTTGTTCTTGGAAAAGGTTGCATCGTACTCCTTTAGAATCGCAAAATTTTACGTTGCAATAATTCTCTTTGGATTCGTTTTTAGTTGCAAGAACTCACGTTTTTTGTGGGAAATTGGTAAGGAATTACATTGAACCCTCACATCTGATTGTAAAGTTTGAGATGAATTTGTTGAAAGGTTAGGAGAATGACTTAACGTCTTTCCCCACCTTGATTATAATATTGTACGGAATTTCTTCAAGTTGACAAGTCTTGTTGTTAGCATATTAAGTTGACACTTAAAAAGAATGGCTAAGAGTCATTCCTTTAGAATGTGGCTTGCTGCCACGTGGGGATGGAGGTGGAAAATTTAATCTTTATCCACTTATTAGTTAATTAGGTAATGTCCCGTTACCCGGTAAATAACCAATTACCCGCACAATTAAAAATTATCTCACCTCCTTTTTAGTTAATGTTCTTTATGCATCATATAGTTAATGTTTATCCACTTATTAGTTAATGTTCTTTATACATCATAATACCATGGTTGTCACACCTCCTTTTTTACACACCACCCCGAAGGATAGTGTATAAGGGAGTTTTTCCACTTTAAGTGACATTATTCGAAATGGGATTATTTATTTATCAGAGTCGCCACTTGGGATAGTTTATTTGGTGTCCCAAGTCACCGGTTTATTTTGAATCCCAAATCGAGGAAAATTCGACTTTCCTTGTGAAGTCTGCGAACCAGAAATTCTGACTAAGGAATTCTGTTAACCCGGGGGAAGGTGTTAGGCACCCGTGGATTCCGTGGTTCTAGCACGGTCGCTTAAACTATCATAAATTGGCCTACTATCTGATTTTAATACATGTTTCAACCTATAGTGCAATTTAAAAATATTTACCGCTTTAGATTAATTTTAAGGAAAATTGCAACGTTATTAAAATACGTCTCGAATCACGTCACATAAATGCACCCGTGATTTTTGACATATGTTAACATCGTTGAGATTTGGATTTAGGTCACATAAATGTGCACCCGAGTTTAGGAAAGTAGATTATTAAAATGCGCGCCTAAAGCGACTAGCGTGTAGATAACTTTGCGGGAGGCCATGAAAATTCGCTAAATGGAACGTCCTGAATTCTAAGTATTTTAATAGAAGTAATAGGGCCACGCAATTTGTGATTTTATTTGGCGCGGCGCACCTCGATTTCATTCTATAAAGGATATTCGGCTAAAGCTTGAAGGGCCATGGGCTATGATGTTATCTAAGATGGCCCTCCTAAAATTATTCTAAAGGTCTTACTAATTGACTAAAGTCATAAGGATTGGTTTCAAGAGCTAAATGTGGGTTGTGGGTTTAAAGTCTAATTACCAAACACAAGAACACACATGTGACACAGCTGGGCCTGAAGGAGAGGCCCAATACTTTAATACTTGAAGTTACTGAAGCTGACTGCATGCTAGCGCATGATTTGGGCCATGGTAATTAACGGGAGGCCCACCTCAAAGCAGAAAACATTTCGGGGCCTCAGTTGTAAAGCTATCCAATTTTTTGGGCCCATGTATCAACAAATAGGCCCATTTTCAATCACCTGGGCAGCCTCCTATATTATTTACACTTCGAATAACGAGTATATGAAAAACAAGAATTTGAATTTTTGTTTATTTGAATGAGTTTCCAATCATAAGATGCTCATGATCCCCGACGTGAGTTTTCCAAATAGCCCAGGCAACAATGCAAAACGAAATCAATAATGCGAATGAATAGACTTCTGTTAACAATTACTTAGCACTTTAACAAAACAGAATTATACTTTCAAAAATCAGGCCTAATTAGACTCCATCTAATTTCTCTTAATTCCTGGAAACTTATAGCAATTTACAAACACATCCATGATCAGACTATACAACTATGCAAGGTCAAATTCAACACGCTATTAGAAGCTAATTCCAGTTATTTAGAATCAAATGTATTTAAAATCTGAAAGTCTACAGTTCAGTTATACAAATGATAAAATGTCTAGATCATATAATTCTCACATTCCAATGGAGCTTAAATTCAACACCTAAACAGACATGCTTGCAAGTAGACTAAGGATACACACAAATATGCCGGGCAGCTAAACCAAAATAAAACAACGTGAATAAAATTAACAGGGAAAATGTGTAGCAATTCATCATTTCTTCAAAATGTGTAGGAGTACTTCATGCAAGGCGAAAATCACGTGCTCACAGCTGCCCCTCTTTGCTCGGAAACACGTCCTCTTTGCTCGGAAACACGAAGGGTTTTCGGGCAAAGATAAATGAGCAATTAAGATGGATTTTTGCCCGCTTGGCACTCCATGAGAAGCATTTTTGAAACATGTCTGACCGAACCTTTCTTCAGAGGTTGCCTACATATCCTTGGCTGTAAAGGAATCGGGTCAGTGTAGTTTTGGAAGTTTTGGTAGCTGGGACTACCGGGAGCTGTGATTTCACTGCTGTTGCTGCTGCTACTGACTGACCTCCTTATTACACCAAAAGGAAAATCAAAGCTAAGCTAGCTATGCCTATCAACTACGAGTTACAAGATTCCTATTTATAAATCTCTTGAAGCTTGATCTTGAGTCTTAGCTGATTTTGCTGTGGACTCCGATCTGAATCTTGATACTCGTCAGCTGCATGTGCTGGTTCTTTCTTCAGCTTTTGAATCAAAACGGGACATGCGACGCTGGTTCTTTCTCCATTTAAAGTACTTTGAGTTCACTTCTTTTGTTCTTTTCTTCTTTTCCTTATTTTGGATTGAGACTCATTCTTTTGGTCATCTCAACCTCACGGTAAAAACCTGTTCAGACACCAAAGCAAACAAACGAACGAAATTTTTCTGCCCCAGTTTTTACTAGGAAAATTTCGTGAGTTATTGCAACAAAATCTAAGCTATTTCTTTATTGAAAGCAATAAAATCAGGATTGTGTATCCTTGGGAATAGGGAGTGAAGCCCTAAATTAGGGAAATTGCTAGGTTATGCTGGAAAGATGACAGGGTTATGCCGAAAAAGAAAAAGGTCCTCGGGTTATGTCGGGGAGGTCCACCGGTTATGACGGGATAAGAGAAAAAGGCTCCTTGGGTTATGCTAGGGAGGTCCACGGGTCATGACGGGATTGAAAGAAGAAAAAGTCTCCTTGGGTTATGCCAGGGAGGTTCACGGGTTATGCCGGGATTGAAAGAAAAAAGCTCCTTGGGTTATGCCAGGGAGGTCCATGGGTTATGCCGGGATGAAAGAAAAGGCTCCTTGGGTTATGCCAGGGAGGTCCACGGGTTATGCCGGGATAAAAAGAAAAAAGCTCCTTGGGTTATGCCAGGGAGGTCCACGGGTTATGCCGGGATAAAAGAAAAAGGTCCTTGGGTTATGCCAGGGAGGTACGCTCCTTGGGTTATGCCAGGGAGGTCCACGGGTTATGCCGGGATTGAAAGAAAAAGGCTCCTTGGGTTATGCCAGGGAGGTCCACGGGTTATGCCGGGATTGAAAGAAAAAGGCTCCTTGGGTTATGCCAGGGAGGTCCACGAGTTATGC